AAAATATTAAATAGCTATTGAAGGAAATAATATCGTAATACTAATAATAACAAAGTATTGAAGTAATTATTGAAGAAAATATTGCATTAAACAGTGTGAGAAATCTGCTTGAAGAGATGGCATATACATTAAACGAATATTGTGATATGTACATGGTTTTCGGACGATGTCATGGCCGAGCTCGTCGTGCTGCAGAGTTATATTCACAATTATATCCTGCGAGACAACATCCAACGTATAATGTATTTCTACGTTTGGATCAAAGAATGCGCGAAAATGGTTGTGTTGCACCTGCTCCTCGTATTAATGCAGGCAGAGATAGAATTGTCAGAAATGTGCATAATGAAGAGCGCGTTTTACAAATAGTAGCACAAGATCCGACAATAAGCGTACGAAGAGCAAGTCGTCAATTGGGTTTGAACAAAACGACAGTACATAATGTTTTGCAAGCGGAACACATGCATCCTTACCATTTTACAAGAGTGCAAGAATTGATGCCGCAAGACTACGCGAATCGCGTGCAATTTTGTCAATGGCTCTTAAATGAAGTGGAAGCTGACAATACATTTATAAATCACGTGCTTTGGACAGACGAAGCATTATTTACAAAGGAGGGTATATTTAATGCGCATAATTGGCATTATTGGGCTGATCAAAATCCACACGTAATAAGAAATCGCGCATATCAGCAACGATGGAAATTAAACATATGGGCAGGAATCGTAGGCGAAACAGTCGTGGGACCATATTTATTTGAAGATTATCTTAATGTACGCAAGAAAGAAATACGGTATACATATTTATTTCAAATGTGTCATAATACACCAAAAATAATTTCTTTGTGAACGTTGCAGGGTGAAAATTATTCAATATTTTTGGAAGATATTTTGCCGGAATTATTGGAAGAAGTACCGTTATACACACGTCAAAGAATGTGGTTTATGCAAGATGGATGTCCTGCACATAGTACCAGACTTGCAAGAAATATTCTAAATCGAATGTTTCCAAACTGCTGGTTAGGAAGATATGGTCCTATAGCGTGGCCTCCAAGGTAACGTATTTACGCAAATTATTCGTTGCGATACGATAAGTGACATTCTCATTATTTGCCCAATAGGTCTCCTGATTTGACCCCAGTGGATTTCTTTTTGTGGGGCCATTTAAAAAATATTGTTCATGTTATCAATCCGCATAATCCGGAAGAGGCAATTGCGAGGCTTCATGCTGGCATTATAACTATCGATGCAGCAATGTTGAGACGCGTTCATAATGAAATCATTACAAGAGCTACCGCTTGCATCGAAGCAGAGGGACGTAATTTTGAACAGTTCTTGTAAATAATACTTAAACAAATCAAGCATGTTGTATGCATGTTGTAAGCAAATAAAGTGTTCTCATAATAAATTGTACGCATCGATTCATTTTGGACGTATGGATTACTATAAAAGAATTATCACAGCAAGTCTGTGATTTTTTTCCAAGTTTGGGGTTCTAACAATAAGAGGCACAAGAATTTCAGTCGATAAAATTGTTTTAGTTACAATAGCATAATTTTTTCCGAGGTTTAAATAAAAAAGAGAGAAATCGCGAAGTTTTACGTTATTTTCAACCTATTTGTAACATATCCACGAGTTTGAAAAAAAAATCGACCATTTTACCATTCTACAGAGCAAAGATTTCTCTGTAACAATCCATAATTTGAATTGCCGTACGATGATTTTTAACGGAGTTATGAACGATCAAAGTTAAAGTGACCTTTTTTTTCTTCAATTCTCGATAACTCGGAAAGGAATCATCGAAATTAAAGCAAAAAAAAGATTTTGCAGGAAAAACTTCAGGCTTTAACACGAAAAAGTAAAAAAATGTTTTCAAGTGCACGTGACAAGTCGACAAAGTGGTAAGAAAATTTCCCATTTCGTCGAGCTCGTCGTTTGCTGTATGTAAAAATTACTAGATGGAAGTGAGAAATAGCTGTGATCTTTCGAAAATAGTGATTTCAATCTTTAAAACGCTTTTTTAAATTTTGAATGGCATTTTTTAAACAAAATTACAGCTATTCAAATTTGGCTTATTTTTGGACAAATTTTCCTGATCCCTTAATTATTTGGGGGGAGTGCACTTCCGTGTAATTTTTTATAATTTAATAATCTAATATCCCTTTTACTGCGTAAATAAAATTTAATATTCGCATAACTAAAAAAAATTTTTTTTAACTGAAAATTTTTATTTGAGTACTTAATAGTATTAATATTTTTAAAAAAATAAAAAGTTTTTATCAAGTCGCTGCAAAAAATCTAAAAATTGTACTAATTTTTCGAGGGTTTAAACGGGTATGCCCCCTTAATGCTACTGTGAGCATAATGCTAATGCTAATAATTTATGCTTATAATTTTTCTTGACCATAATGTTTAATGTTAATTTATGACTTTATGTTAATTTTGCAACTCCGTAGTGTTCTTTGATTTCGCGAAATTTTCGAAATTTAAATCCTTCCAATTCCCACCTTGCTTAAATTCTTACAATTAGTGTAAAAGAATCTTCGAGGAAAATCAACTGTCATGCGAAAGATTAAAGTAGAGGCTTCGCCCTTTAAAATGAGCCCAGGGTGATTGCTGCACGATTTCTTTTTTTCACGAAGTTGTAACAGTTCTAAAATCGACAATTTTTCGGCAATAATTTAGTGATCCTTTAATTATGCTCTTGAGTGTAGATATGTTAATGAAAGATAGAAATTTTAAAGATTGGAATTATTGTAATGAAATAATGATTCCTATGTGT